TTACCAATGGAATTATCCGTTTGTAAAGATAAGGGTCTATACCAACGGAAAAATCTCTTAAGATTTTTTAGGGTCTATACCAACGGATAAGTCTTACGTAAGAATAGATCCAAGGGTCTATACAGACGGATTGGCCGTTGGTATAGACCCTATACTGACGAGGTTTCCACCCATAGAAAGTTCGTCCGTCGGAATAGTACCTAGGGTTTATACAGACGGAAAAAGGGTCTATACAGACGGAAAACTTCCGTCAGTATAGATACATTTGCTTGTAGTGGATGTTTATTCTTTTCAAGATGTCTATTGGGAACAAACACTTCTTTTCAATTTTTATCCGTTGAAAACTCTTCCAAAAATCATTTGGTTTGATTTGAATTTCAATTCACGTATTTCTTTACTTTTCAAAGTTATTCACTCTCTTCAGAAACTTATCTGAATTTTATCTCTTATTCTGGCATAAATGGTTCGAACCAGATAAATGTGATTCAAACCAAAATCGTAAATTTCCGGATTCTGGTTTTACGTAAATAATTCGAATCATATAATTATGGTTCAAACCAAAGTTACACTTTCTCAAATGCATTCTGTGCAATTGCTTCGAACCAACTTTTTATGATTCGAACCCAAATCCTGGAAATATTTTGAAAATTCTTCAACTTTGATAAGGCTCTACAACAAGGGCACGAGACTAAAGAGGTCATGGATTGGATGCGTATACTGGAGTCTCCGAAGTTCATTCATTCTGCCTACATGAAAAAAATTTTATCCGAAGGCAAGAAGTGTTGCTTCGAGTGGTGTAATCTCAAGTCTCATTACCTACTCAGCATGGGAGCTGATGAGTATGCCCAAGACGTTGTTGAACTGCTGAAAAAGATTAGGAGAAGACATGAAGAGGCTCTCGCAAAGACAGGACAGAAAGTGGCTGCAGCAGCTGTTAAAGATTTCATGCATTTTCACTCTATAAGCAATGTTTGGGAGGAGATCACGGTGGCACTGCATAGTCCAAGATTCAGCAACATTGGAGTGCACGGTGAGGCTGGTATGGGGAAAACGATGCTGGTTGAACAAATCAAAGAAAAAGCCGAGCAACTGAAGTTGTTTCTGTTAGTTTGTAAACAAAGAGATGAAGATCTGGTAAGTGCAGAACTGAACTTTTCCATTGAACAAATCTGCTTTTTACAAGGAAATAAAGAAACTACTAAAAACTGAAAGTTAACTGCACTACAATGGAAAAACAAATTGGATTAAAAACCAACTAATAACTGCTACAAACTGAAAAAATAGTATGACAGCATTTGTGTCACTGTCTTTACATTGCTGTTTTCACTCCTCCTTGACACTAATGCTGCTCATCCCAAGCTTGTCTCTTAGTGTCTCAAATCTGAACTTGTGCAATCCTTTAGTGAATATATCAGCAATCTGGTCATCTGAATCACAGTGCAAAACCTGAACTTCACCTTCATTAACCATCTCCCTAATAGAATGATATTTGATCTTGATATGCTTGGTTCTACCATGAAGAATAGGATTCTTAACAATTGCAACAGCAGATAAATTATCACAAAACAACTCAGTAGGATGTATCTGAGGTTGTTTTAAATCATTCATCAGTTTCTTGAACCACACAGCTTGATTTGCAGCAAGAGAAGCAGCAATGTACTCAGCTTCTGCCGTTGACTTGGCAATTGAGTCTTGCTTCTTAGAACTCCAACTAATCACCCCTGAACCAATAGAAAAACACTGTCCTGAGGTACTCTTCATGTCTTCCTCTGAACCAGCCCAATCACTATCTGTAAATCCAATTAGCTTCACATTTGTTGACCTTTTATAAAGAACACCAAAATCAGTTGTTCCCTTCACATACCTTAGGATCCTCTTGGCTGCCTTGAAGTGTATTTCACTGGGAGAATGCATAAACCTAGACAAAAGGCTCACT